TGGCCACTGTTCTCTTGGGAGGAAACTTGGGGCTCTGAAGTGGAACTGGCCCCAGGTGCTTCCTGCCAGGATGGCACAGGTGAAGAGGGACAGTCGGCACCCCCTGGGCACCTCCCAACCAGAAGGAGACCCCCCGGGCACCTCCCAACCAGAAGGAGACCACAACAGACTGCTGGGGAGGGCACCCCCCAGTGTAGACCAGAGGGCTGGAGCCACGGCCTCTCTGTGGCCCCCCGCTCTGTGCTGAGAGTCGAACGCTGGCAGAGGGTGACAAGCACCCGCCATCGCAGGCTGCTTCTCCCCATAGACCCGACATCACCGCTCCTCTGCTAGGGTCACTGAAATCTGGCAGTTCCCAAATTCATAAATGGAGGGGAGGCAGCCGCCAGCGGCATCCAGTAAGGTGTGTGGTTGAAGCTGCCCTCTCTCTCCCCTGAAGGACCTCCACGCTTGCCCGGACAGGCTCCCTTCTGGAATCTGGGTCAGAGTGGACCCTGCCCAGGTGGTGTGCCGAGGAGCACTTCCTCAGGGACCGGGCATCTCTGCATCTTTCCATTTGGGGATACAGTTAGGCCTCCTGGACCCGAAGTTGTACTTGACCAGGGTGGGCCTGGGTGCTGTCTTCAAAGCGGTGCCCACTCACCTAGCTCCACTGGGTGGACACCACCAAGGCCACCGTGTCACCCCTTAGGGAGCTTGGGCTTTGGAAGCAGCCAGAGTTGGTTTGGGCTTGTGTCTGCAGAGTCCTGCTTCTCACACGCTGGTGTTGGCACTCAGAGGAACGGCTGGTGTGTCAACATCTCTGCTGTCCCCACATGGCCAAACTGTCCACTCAGAGAGTAGCACATGCGGTTGTGGAGCACGGGCACTGGACCATAGCTGTCCTCACACCAAGCCACACAGAGCCATAGGTGACCACGTACACCCAGTCCCAGGGGCCAAGGTGCGGGCAAGACGTCACGGGGGGGCTCCCAGGGCCCAGGCAGGGGACTGACAGGACAAGGCCCAGAAGGTCAGCAGCAGGGACCACAGCCGCCCTTGCAGGAGCCGTCTGCCAGGTTGCGGCCGGGTGCCGGGCTCTGGTTCACGGCATCTCTGCTCTCGCAGCGCCAACACAGTGGGCAACTTCAACAGGCAGTGTCTGTCCTGTGACCTGGTCGAGAACTGCACCTACTTCAGCGCCTCCTTCAGCCACAGCTCGGACTTCTTCCTGCTCAAGTGTGAAGGTGAGTGTGCCCTGAGCCCAGGCCGGGGGTGCTGCAGGGCACAGCTGCAGGCAGGGGCCGTGGGGTAGGAGCACCACGTGTTACAGGACAGGGACGGGTCCTGCCGAGGGCCACGGTGCTCATGGTCTCGAGAAGGCCTTGGCTCCTCGGGGCAAAGCCAGCGCGTCCCACAGTTTACCTCCTGATGTCCATCCCGAGCCCCGGAGCTGGCTGGGTCTCTTCCATGTCGGTGAGACTGGGCCATCTATAAAGATAGGAAACAACTTCAACGCGGAACCTTTGGGGCCTATGAAGGCTTGAGATTGCACACAGAGTGTCAGAAACATGTATCCTATGACCCAACTTATTGTTGATTGATCCTGGACATGCGAGTGCTTTACCACACCCGTCAGAGCGCCAGATAGGCCACGTGCGCGGGAAGGTGCAGAGAAGTCTGCGCATCTGTGCTCACATCTTGTGCAGCTAAGCGGTGAGCCCACGAGAAGGCAAGAAGAAATCACGTGGTCCCAGGAAAAGAGCTCTCAGAGAGGAGCGAGGTCCGCCGAGAGCGCTCCTGGGCGCGAACACGCCTGTAGGAGAGGCCTGGTGGAGGTGGGGCCAGTTCACCGGGAGCTCACTCGAGTTTCAGACGGCACAGTCAGGGTGCCGAGCAGCACCTGGACAGCCTGTTGGCAGAGGCACCCAGTGACTGCACCCCCTTCTCATCGGGTCATTAGACCTCTGGGAAGCTGCCCATGCCCCTGCTCCCCAGCCTACCCCACGTTCTGCCAAGATGAGGGGCAGGTTTCCGGGGGCTGGGATTCTGAAACGCATGACTCCCCCAGCCCCGGGGACCCTGAGCCAGCCAGGTCCTGGAGGAACAGAACCAACAGGGTACGTGTCCTGTGAGGCTGGCGTGCAGGATCCCAAGTTGGACAGGGCTGCGTGACTGTCCACAGTCTGGGGAGCTGGAGGGAGCAGGAGCTGCTCAGTCAGCAAGCTGGGCCTCGGCACAAGAGGGACCCGGACAGAGACTGGAGGGGTGGAGGTCACCCTGAGGACCACTGGACAAGGGCCACGAGCGTGGGCGGCGGCAGCAGCAAGGGACGCGCCTGCCCAGGAAGAACGCAGCTCGCCTTCCGGCAGGGTGTCCTCCTTTGCTTTCTGTTCCACCTGGGCCCCAGCCTGGTGGACAGCACTGCCCATGCTCCAGGCAGGTCCTCCCCCTCAGTCTGCTGAGTCTCCATCCCAGTGTCTCCTCGGTGTCCTTTAACCCAGTCCAGCTGACAGTCCCACTTAACCATGGCAGTGCCCTTTGCTGTGGCCCCGGGAAGCAGGCCCCAGAGCATCACCCAGGGGTGCTCTGGGAGGAAAGAAGGTGGAGCCGACCCCTCATTTGTCAGACGGCAAACCTGAGGCCAGAAGTTAAGAGGAGCCCCCGACTCCTGGTGAGTCGGTGACCCAGGGAGGACAGGATCCGGGTCTCTGGGTCCCACAACATCATCTGCCTGAAATGGCAAATCGTGGCAACTCAGAGGGCTATAAGGCACAGAGACGGGAAATGTGACAGCCTGGTCCCCTGGAGCACAAGGCCAGGCTTCACTCCCAGCACTGGAGAAACAAACTGAAGTCTTACTGATCAGGGCGTTATCGCCTCAGAATTTTCTGGACCACTTAGAAATCTATTTAAATATTTAACCTGTTGCTTTGACTTAAACA